GGCGACTATCTCTTGCACCGCCTTGCAGTCTAACTTGGTAAACTACACTGGTGTTTCACTTACCCTCTAACTCGTCTTTTCTGGCGTTTGATCTCAAACTGTTTTGCTCTGAAACAAGGAACAAGAAGAAAGGAACTGGCAGAAAGTCAACAATGTGATCATCAATCATCCGGTGTAACCTATGACGTCAATAGACTTAGACGGTCTTCTTGAATCACGCAACAGCTACTTAATGCAGAACGTAGATAGACAACCTAAATAATCTCAAAAATCAATAATTTACTCTTCAAATATAAATTAATTGGCTCTTTTCGATTACAATTAGCTTTGCATCAGAGGAAGTTGTTTAGCTGTACGTACATCTTCTCGCTTAGGCATTGAAATGACAGTATTGCACCAATGAAGAATTATATCAAGTATATAATCCCCTTCGCTATTTGTGTTACTGTTAATATTAGTTGGCCAACTTTTACAATAGTAGGTCATCAGACATATCTGAGGTGATGTTATATATTTGCCTAGATCTTTATAATGGAATAAATACTAAGTATCCATATTTCGAAGATTTGAATCCTGACTCAACAACATTATTCTCCATTGATACTGCGGATTGATCCGTTCGTGTGCACATTTATTTTTGCTTTTATTTGCAAGCAATGGAAATAAGACGTGAAACATGATTTAAAGACAAAATAATGTGCACCTGTGACTCGTTATTATCGATTTCTTTTTTCCCTAGCATTAGCTGTTATTTTGGGTAATCGGCCATGAAATTTATTGGAAGTACCGTAATATGTTCAAAACATCTTTACTAAAATTTTGAGGCTTTTTCAAAGTATACGGCAGACTAAGTTCCAGTAGAAGCCAATGGGCAAAGCTAGAGGGGATGGGACTTATGGGTACTCATTATGTTATTGATGCTAAACTGTAGCCAAAATTCGACTCCTTTCGAATTTTTAAGATCACTTTCTTGGCTTGAAAAAAAAAAAAGAAAAAAAAGGAAAAAAATCGAACTTAATCAAGGCAAGAAAGTTTGCTTTCCTGGATACTGGGCTTAGAACTGCCCTTCCGTACGGTAGGAAACATCGTAATCACAACTCCAACAGAGAAATCTGGTTTATCGTTTTCAAAGTAAATCTAGCTATTATGGCGTGCCATTTCTGCCGAAATTATTTTAAGATTTACCTAGTCACCCTAGTGCGCTATCATTAGGAACTTAGTCATATGTCTTTGGTCATTAGAATTTATTAATTTGTTATTATTAGCCATAATAACCGGCGCCATATACGCTAAATGTGGTAGTAGTTATTATAAGGCGCTCTTATGCTATTATTAAACATTTAGTTTTGTTATCAGTCATTTAATTCATTACTGGCGGGTGTTAACGACAAAGTGCACCATAAATTCCCAAGTTGTCAAAATTACTTCTAACTCCCCCCCTCCCCCCAATCACCCTATTCCACTCACCCCATGCAAGCGATGGAGGATACGTGATTAGTCCCTTAGGCTATGTCTACACTGTACTGGGTAGCTTTTCGTGTGGACGATACAAAAATTAAGCTACCCGGTACTGTAAACGGGACTGAAACAGAACTTTCACACATGGCTTTTTTCGCCAAAGCCGTTGACTGAGAGGCTTTAGTGCTTTAAGTCTCAAACCTCACTACAAAAAATTAACTTCAGTTTCAGTGGGTTCCAGGCCACTTTCCTGCTTATTCACTTCCGTTTATCTGAAAACTAGCCTGTGTACAGCCGCCAGCGGCTGTACACAGGCTAATCTGAAAACCAGTTCACGGTACACCAGAGGTGGCACAGAACCTATGCGACATGTGACGCTCCACTCTCAGTTACAGAAATCGCGCCGAAATCACCGTTCTTATGTGTGAACAAAAGCCCTATTCCGTATGATTTTCGCCGCCGATCTATCCGGTAGGGTGTGAATACAACCTAAAGCTCAAAAGGATGAGAACCTCTTTCGTTTAGTTAATTTTATAAAGTGCTTTTGTTGAGGTGTTTGCCCCAGTTGTTCAAAAGGTGGATAACGCTATCCACTGGATAAATCACTATCCACTGGATAGCGCAATTGGTTTCGCTAACACTTATCCGTTGGATATGTAGTGGATAGCGCTATCCAACTTTTGAACAACTGGGGCCAGATGATTTAAAGCGAAAGGCAAAGCCGATGTTCCAGTTACGCGTGATCTCTGAATGAAACGACGAATATAACAGCCCGGGTCAGGCGACATCAAACATCCAATCACAAATCACGCTCACAAAAAATGAGTCAAAGAGCTTAGAGTTTAACTTAAAGTGTCGATGGCCGCATGCAGTTGAGTTCATTGTACTTGTGCGTTATGTCCAAACCAGTCTAGGGTCTAAAAATTCCCTTAGGCCATTTTTTGTACAGGTTCTGTGACCTCTAACTAACAATTGGCATAAAAAAAAGATAACGCTGTCGTGAAGAGTGCTCACCGGTAACATTTTGTCGCAATCCTCCCTGTTTTCTCTTACTTTTCTGAATGGATAGAGCTCACAGAAACGACAATTGTCATTATTTGCTTAAAAAAAAAACACACACTTGGTATCGATTCTAGAGCTAGGGTAATTACATAGGTCTTTCGCAACTAGTTAGTCTCCCACGCCTCCCCTCCGAGTCTGGACATAACTCTAGTCATAATGAGTAAAAGTTGTTCAACCCAATTTGTATCACCTCCCACAGAGGACCACATAGCTGGCTTGGTCCCCAGCCGAACAGTAGTTAGTAGACTTTTTTCAGATGCGGCGGCCATATTGAAGTAATTGGGTTTAAGGAGTATTATGGGATGCCCAGGGGGCATGAGCAAGATCCGATATACTCGCAACAGTATTCACGCGCACTTTTCGGGCCAATTTTCTTTACTTTTTCCTAGAAAAAGATTGTAATGGGAAAAACGATCGTTGTGCCGTGTTTGGATGTAATAATGATCACCTTTTTCCCGAGAAATGTACATTAAAGTGCTCTTTTTGCTCGAAAAGGGCGCATAAATGCTGAGCGAGTGCCCTCTGGGCATACCATAATACTCCTTAAATCTAATGAATTCAATAGGGCCGCCGTATCGGTAAAAAGGTCTATTGTCTCGATGTACCCGCTATTATAATTCACTCCACCTCATGGCTGGGCACATGGGCTGGGAAGTCTGGGAACAGGCCACTTTAAATTTTGCGAGGGATAAACTTTTGCTATACTAAGTTACGTACTAAGGATATAAATTAAATTGAAGAATAAAAAAATAACATAATGTCGTTTGATGGGGAACATATACTTTGAAACTTCTTGATCGCTTGCTTCAATTTGACGGGTTTGGCTTGATAATTTAAAAGAGGAAAAACCAGAGTTTACAGATGATTTCATTTCTCGTATGCTGAGTTTTGTAATTATCATGACTTTAAGATAGACCCAGCTAGGCGCCCAACGGCTGGAGACTGAGGCAACTTACTGCAATTCCATGTCACTTCGTCGGCAAAGTATGTTTAAGAGCCAACATCTGTAATTGTCTCAAAGAGATTTGTTGAAACGAAAGCTTAAATATTCCTTTTGGTGAGCGAATAAGGAAAAGAACTGGGCTGACAGACCGACAGAAAATGTATCGATAAAGACAAATATTTGTTTCGTAACAGGTAACAGGGCTATNAGATTTGTTGAAACGAAAGCTTAAATATTCCTTTTGGTGAGCGAATAAGGAAAAGAACTGGGCTGACAGACCGACAGAAAATGTATCGATAAAGACAAATATTTGTTTCGTAACAGGTAACAGGGCTATCAATAAATTATAACTGAAGAAATGTTTTGAAGGTTTCCTGGCCTTTCATTTATTTCATTGTATGTACTCTACTTGCCGAATCTGACGGAAGAAACTGAAAATATAAAGGTAAGTTACCCGTGCCTCTCCCCCCCAAAATAAAAATAATAATAATAAACAAAAAATGAATAAATATGATTCCCTCATACGATTAAAAAGGTAAGGGGGATAAGCAAAATATCACAAACTGAATACTGCATTCACTGTTTTGGTTACATGTTTAGACAACTGATGTGTTTCCTGGAAATAAAAATAAAAGAACAAAACATTATTTTGAAATTGTATCTCTACTTGAGTGGACATTTGTATATAATGACTATTTAAGAAGTGGACATTTCTGTCCAATTCTCAGTTATAATCGTCGCTCGTTTGCTATATTTCATTTAATTCTCCCATCCCCGTAAAGCAACGTATTCTTAATAAATGCCAGGTTATGTGAAGGAGGAAAGGAGAAACGTTTATCAAAAATTACTTAGAAGAGATGTAGAATAATACTCGATTTTTATCTTTTACTCTCACAACTTCCAGCCCTCTCGAGCTCTAAGCCTTTGTATAATTCGCTTGAATTTAAATGGTGTTTCATAGCGAAGTAACACGTGTTAATGACAATTGCTATATTGTGGTAAGTATATAAGGTATGTTCAGCGCGGAGACATTTCATTGCAGTTTTTTTCAATTTAAGCAACTGGTTTCAACAGTGTAATGCGGTTTCAAAATAACTCAGTTACACTAACACTCCGAACAATTGTAACAAGAGGGTATTTTATTTTACTGGTCAATCATTTGACTTGATGACTCAACTGCGAGCTTAAACTGGACTCGTGATATATTATTGTGGACTAGAATAAACCTCAGAAATATTAGTAGTGGTTCCTACTAGACCTCTAGGAGCACAAGGCCGAGAGCTAGCCCCATAGCCTATGGTTAACAACGAAGTTCACAGCGAAGTTCACAATGAAATAATCTCTTTATTATCTTTACTAATAGATAAACAGCATTGAACAACTAAACTTAAAGCGGTGGCCTGGGTATTGCTTCGCTCTTTTGTGCCGCCTCTAGGAGTACATTTATTAAGACAATTTCAAGAATTAAAACGGCCTGAAGAAATGTTTGTTTGTTTGTTTCACTTGGTGTTTGTTTGTTTTCCTAAGCCCAAACCAGATGAATGCTAATCAGGGTATAGTTATTGGATTCTTTTTTATGGCATTGGCTGGAGAAATAGGTAGGTGCTAAAAGTAAAATTGCAGTCACCAACAGTGTTTTCCACCTTATTTGAAGACCGATCAGCATCATATCGGGGAAAAAAGGGATGCATACGGAGTAACTCATGTATAGCGACAAGTGTTTCTTAATTATTGGACTAAAGTGTTTTTGGTCTTGGATATTCAGGACGTGTTTTTGGAATGCGGGGAACTGTTTTGTCCCCATAGAAACCACTCCGTAGGTGCAAAATTAACAGGACTCTAAACATGAATAAGATAAAGAATTTCGCTTTTCTATGATGCGATTTTTGGGGAAAGTTATTGTAAAGAACCCGTACCCGGAAAGGAAAAGCGAAAAATTCTTTCATTTTGCCAAAACTTGCCTACATTTGGCATCATTTTCTTGAGCTTATAAGCGCCAGGTGCTATCTAAAAGTTTCATGTTTTTTTTTTTCTTTTAAATTTTATCATCTCCTGACTCCGAAGATGAGGCAACCCGAAACTTTTTTAAAACAATTTTTAAATCGTATTTTGTTTTTCTGGTGGTAGGATTGGGATTAGCCAAAGCTTCAAGATTAGCGTCGGGAGCCCACGAAATTCAGGGAAAATTTTGGTCGGGATGGCAGAAAAACTATTCAATATCAGATTATTAAGGCAAATCGTCGATTGCCATGGAAAAGTTCAATCAAAAAAAAGAATTTCATCTTAGTGTTTGGTGTTATTATTTTTCAGGCTGCCATCCTTCTAAAGTTCCAGCAGAGGATACTTTTGATGACTTTTTAACCCAAGAGGATATCACCGCTCTCACTAAAATACTTGAACAGGATGATGTATTGAAATCTACGAAGTCCATTTTAAAACATATCTGGCCTTTCAAAAAGTATCTGTAAGTAAATGATACAATTATTAGTCTGTAATTGGACATACAAAAATATGTTAGGGCAGTAAACGGGAGAAAAGACAATTTTCGACTCGAAAAGTATATATTACATTTGCATGCGTCGTGTGATGTTCTTTCACTTTGCTACAAATGTCACCTCTGTTTGGACACTGGCATCATATTCAGTTCGAGCAAGGTCGACAGTTTATGATGTGGCAGATACATTTGCATGCAAATTTAGGTGCAAAGGAAGAAGTATTACAAAAAAGTTAAAAACATATGCCGACAGATGCACTGGCTACATGTGTTTGATTGATTTTCCGTAAGTCAGAGTTCCGTCAAACTTATGTGCATATTAAAACTGTTTTCTATTTATAACCTTTAAAATTAGGTAAACAGGTAGGAAATCTCATGATATAGTTACGAGACGGGTGGGCCTGATTATGTCTGACGTACCCAGCTGTGTCTATTTTTTCTCACTATTTCAATAAGCATTGCTGTCTAACTGTTTCGCTGAAAAAACTGTGATTTTATTCTCTTTAAGGTTGCCCATTTTCAAAAAAATCCTTATTGGAATTTCAAAAAGCAAGAATCCAACTGATATTCTACTTGACATTATTCATGTCCTCGAGGGAGGCATAGAGAAGAACAAGAAAAACATGAAACCTCGGAAAGAAGAAAACCGTACCAATGCAGAGGAGGAGAGGACGAAAGAGGAAGAGGTTTACGAACCTTCCGCATCAGGAGAATCGGACCTGGAATTACATGAAGATACCAAAGAAATACATCCTAAGTTCAAAATTACTGGACCCGAAGAATGGTAGCAATTGGTCCGAATCTCGTATTGTATTCGTTAGGACACACGTTGTAAGACAAGTGTTTTTGCCTCCGTGATGGAATGAAAATTTAAATTTTCGCATATTACAATGTTACATAAATTCAAGGCGCTGGTTAAGTGCCGCAGCCACTGAGTTCTTTACCTTGATAAAGTTTGTGATCAGTCCCCTATTTCCCCGTGAGATCGTCGATATCAAGCACTAAACAAAATGCTACGGGGGTACCTTTTTTTTTAGAGAGTCTATCCTAGGAAAGAGAATCAAATATACCTAGATGGCGAGGCACGGTTTTAAAGGAGGCGAGAATCCCCCACAGCTATATAGCCAGACGTCCCCCCCCCCCAACCCCCCTTCAACATTCTGAAACCAAGAATAGCGCTCATAAAGGACAGCGCTTGATCTTGCGATCTACGACCTTACTGAAGAAAAACGGGGGAGTTTGTCAACATTTTATACTTAAAGTTAACAATATCCCACGTCCATGCTTGATGTTGTTATATCCTGAGAGCGTACCTATAATTTAAGCCTGTTGAGCTAATCAGTGCCCACTTACTTAACTCTTGGACGCGCGCCGGTCTGCCAAGCAGAAGGTTCGATTCCTTCCTTACAAGAACCGAGGAGAATGATGGCCTCCTTTTACACTGCCATCTACAAATAGTTTGGTAGTTTAGTCTTCTCGGATAAGACAGTGACAAGGGGCCACCTCACAACCCTTTCACTGTTTGGATTCTTTTGGAACATAAAATAACCCGAACTGCTGTCGGTAAAGTGTTGAGTAAAGAGTAGAGGATATAACGGCGCCGTCGCACTCCACCATCTGAACGTTTGGAACAGGCTAGGGACGTAGACCTCGATGGCGTGGACAGCCTTTCATGAGCTGCAGTGTGGGTGAATCCCGGGGGGGGGGGGTACTCGATATATCCCTGTGTGGGGAGGTGCGGCGCGGCCCCACATACCCTGACCCTGTTTAAGACAAATATCGCTTATTTTCCTACCCTGTTTAAGACATTTATCCTGTTTAAGACAAAAATTGATAAATCGATACCCTGATTAAGACAAAAAATGATAAATTCGATACCCTGTTTAAGACAAAAATCCCGAAAACCATAGGCTGGCTGGCCGCACGGCTCCATTAGGTCCTTATAAGGGAGTACACCCTCGGGGATGGATAATGTAGGAGTGGGTATAAAATGGGACGCAAGTCCTTATTTATCTCCTTCTACCCTGTACGTTGATCACCGTGGAACATTTCTTCTAAATAAACTCACTTTGTTTGCAATTCTCTCTTTACAAAAAGATTTTGTAATTTTAAGACAAAAATTGATAAATCGATACCCTGATTAAGACAAAAAATGATAAATTCGATACCCTGTTTAAGACAAAAATCCCGAAAAACATACCCTGGCTGGCCGCACGTCTCCATTAGGCCCTTATAAGGGAGTACCCCCTCGGGGATGGATAATGTAGGAGTGGGTATAAAATGGGACGCAAGTCCTTATTTATCTCCTTCTACCCTGTACGTTGATCACCGTGGAACATTTCTTCGAAATAAACTCACTTTGTTTGCAATTCTCTCTTTACAAAAAGATTTTGTAATCAGATGTTAAGGTCGACCATATAACCCCTATCCTGTGTACACCTGCCTGAAAAACGTGCCTTCTCATTTTTTGTGGTGGGGGAAGGTGGATGCACAAGAGTGCCATATGCATGATGTAAATATCAAGCAGTTTAACCTAACGTCATTGACAGGATTCGTTGTTTGTGAGAGTCTTGGTGTACTCGATCGAAAAGGCCTCTATTTTCACCCAAAATAAAGAAAGTACTAATAATGGTAATTACGTTTCCACTGAAACATGCAGTGAGTAAGAATAAATGCAAAAACTCCGAAAGATAAAATCAATTTAATCCAAATGAAGGCTGTCTGGCTGTCTTTAGAGCATACATCTGATTTCAATATTACAATAAGTTACACGAAGAGAGCAAATAACACGTTATACAGTACACAAGCAAAATCACTAACAACGAAATCCCATGAAGATTGTGTACAAAAAGGTAAGGTCTAAAAACAAGCCAGGTATTGACTTAGGAACATGCGATATATAGCTTTAGCTAAGGCTAAAAGAGAAGCGTCCATTTATATACTTTTAATTAGTTAAAACCAAAAAATTAAAATTAATAAGCTTCAACCTATGCAATTCCAGAAATTTTTTACTTAAGTGATTTTTCAAATAAAGTGGAAAATTATAAATCAAGTAATAGTCTTGGAAAAGAATTCTTACCCATACGTGTGCGTCTGAACCCCCCACTTACAACAACACCTCTTTGAGAAGCTATATAATGGCAATCATAATAATAATAATAATAAGGCGAATATTTATACAGGATAACCTATCAGTTCTAATAAAAAGAACTGTTATCAAAAGGGTCCTGTAATTATCTCATAAATAGCTAAAAAATAAAAAATGAAATCGAAAAAGGAAAATAGAATAAAATAACACTAAGAAATCTAAGATTTAAAAATCAAAATCTGTAAAAATCATCGACTTACAAGACTGAAAAGAGTTATGAATTATGGAATACTATTGAAAAAATTGTTTTAAATTACTCTTAAAAAGAAACCTAGAATTTACAGTTCTTAAATGCCGAGGTAAAGTATTATAAACTAGAGCCCCTTGAAAGGCAAAACTTCTCCGTCTAAATTCTAATTTGGTTTTGGGAAGTTTTAGTGAACACCCATTGTTTCTAGTGTTAATGTTGTGTTCAATTTTTGTAAAATATCCTTTAAAAGGGGTACAGACATTATCCTAAAGACAATCAAACACAAGCTGGCAGGACAGAATGAGAGGATAAACCTCTAATAATAATTTTGTTATTATTTTTTTTACCGTGCAATTTTTGAAAACCCCCCTATTTTATGGTGAGTTTAACCCTATTCAGACCGGGGGGAACCGTTCAAGCTAGACAAGACAAGACAAGACAAGACAAGACAGTGCTTTATTTGGAGTCTTATACAGTCCTATGTACATCGACTTTATCCAAATAATTTAAAATCATAACACAAATTGCACACTAGTGAAACTATAATCAATGTTAACCTAAAGAACTAATAATCTTACTTTCTCATAGCAGTCGAATACGTATTTTGCAATTAACTTTTGCACTGGTTTGTTCTTGCTCGGAGGGTTTATTAACAACAGAAAAACATCATCTGGTGCCATTCTGTTTTCTGACATTCTGTATTCTTTGTTTAAGTATTCAAATAAAGTACTTCTTTTTTCTTGATACGCAAGGCACAGAGTTAAAGAGTGTATTTCATCTTCTACGTCTTTTTTACAGGACAGATCCTCTCTTCCGGTTTCTTATAAGGTCTTACATACCGACCTGTCTCTATCGCCAATTTGTGATTACTTAGACGGAGTTTAGTTAGAGTTATCCGGTGTCGGATGTTGGTGACCTGACGGAGATAATCTTCAAATTTATAATTTTCTATCCTTTTAAATTTTCGGAAGGTTCTTAGTTTGTTCTTTTGGTTGGCGTCTTTCTTACGTCATTGTTTACGTCACTTAACCATCTTTGTAATTCGATGTCTTTCGGTCTTTGTTTGATAATGTTCAAGATTCCGATGTCATTTTCATGTGCTTTTGTCCAGAGGTATTCCAGCCCTATTTGGTCTAATACGAGTCTGATTTTTTGGCTCCATAATTCCTTATTCACCCTTGACTTCATATCATTATAAACCACCTGTGATAATTTGTGTTTTGGGTGTTTGGTTAGAGTTATCCAAAACTTAAAATTCCTATATTGCGCTTCGATTTTTATTGGGAATCTTCCTGTTTCAGCCCTACATGCATTGTTGCTGCAGTATTTATTTACACCTAGCAACCATTTCAAGAATTTAATTTGAACTAATTCTGCGGGATCTTTTTCTATTTGGTCTTTACAGTCAACACCCCAAATTTCACTTCCGTAGAGAAGTATGGGGGATATCAGAGCATCGAATAGCTTAATTGTCAGCATAATATTTTCTCTAAACTTGTCACCCATCTCTTTTCTTAGTTTATAAAGTGCCTTAAGCCCAACTTTTTTTAGCTATGACCACCAAACTTAGCGACTTTTCCTAAAAAAAATTATCTGGAAACATTCTAACGTCGACGTTACCTTGGCATCCAAGTTTTGGCAGCCACAGTTTTCAATTTATTTATTTATTTTTTTCAAAGAAGTTTTCATTCTATTTTTACCAATGGAATTATTATTAATATTATATTTTTTTTCACAGAAATCACAAAAGAGCACCTCTAAATTCGTTAACGGCGGATCAGTGAAATGTTTCGCACGATTCTCTCATACATGCATGTTCTTTATTGGCGAGCTCATTTGGTAAAAAAAAGGACTTTTCTCGGTATAAGCATCCTCATGTTCTTTGCATGTGCTCTAAGGCATTGTAGAGTGATGACAGGCTACCATGTGACATTGAAATATCAGGCAAAACCCAGAACTATGGCCTGAAAAGGGTTTGCAACTCTAAAGTGACTCGATTCTACTTAATTTTGCTTTGCAAACAACATAATTGGACTTCAGGCACTTAATCCATTGAGATATCTACCTGGAGTTATGAAAACCGGGTTAGCAAACATTTTGTAATTTTTCTCAACTTCCCCTGTTTAATAGCTTTTTTACTCTGTTGTTTGCTTATGTCGTTTGTTTTTGCTTGTTTTGTGGTTAGGGATTTGTGTAGAAGTGGATGTGGACAGAATTACCATCTAACCCCTCCCCCGCTATTTTTTTTGGTCCCTACCCACAATTCTCTCTCTCTTGTTTGAAATCAGTGCGCGCCTAAAGCTGGTTTCGGTGCCGTTTAGCAGTTTAGTTTTAGATATTGGTCACCTTGAGAAAAGTTTCCCTGAGAGCATCATGTAAAGCTCTGAGATGGGACAAAGTTATTACGATTCGCAGAGTCTGCTTCGTCCAATATCGTATTATATTCTCATTTCATTTGATTAGCATTAGATGACATCGAGTGAAGCCAGATTGGACTCCTTATGAATTTTACACAACTCATTATTTTCATAATGGAACGAGACTGGAATGTAGAATGAGCCTAGAATAGCCGAAGAATCCAAAACTACAGAGCGCCAGTTATGGAGAGAACACAGTAGAGAGTTAAGCACTGATCTGCAGTGATTAGGGTTAAGCCCTGAACTGAAAACGGTTAGCTTTCAAATATTGTAATGGGGTACGGCATATATAAGAACATGTATGTTTTAAAAATTACTGAATTTGGCAGCTAGTCCTCGATGGTTTAGTGGATATGGATGTAGGCTATAAAGCAAGTGACCCGGGTTCAAAGCATCACAGTGGAGTTTTTGCATTTCACTTTTATATTACACAGCAAAGTTGGACTTAAGTTGTTCTTCATGTAATTTTACTGAAAGAAACAATCTGACTTCAGCCGATGTGACCTAATGCTAACCGTTTCATTTGGCTAAACGGATCAATCACCCTGATCCGAGCTGTTCCCTACGGAGCCCTGTTAGTGCCATACACGCGCACGTACAGCATTATATTGGGAATGTATTCTTGTTTCTTTATGGCGAACACTTTCTTACCCTTGGCGCGACTTTTTTTCTCTGGCGCGACTTTTTTTTCTCTGGCGCGACTTTTTTTTACTGGCGCGACTTTTTTTCGAGGGCGCGACTTTTTTTTCACTGGTGCGACTTTTTCTCACCGGCACGACTTTTTTTTCGCCGGCGCGACTTTTTTTCGCCGGCGCGACTTTTTTTCGCCGGCGCGACTTCTCTGGCGCTCATTTGTAGACCGCTGCTAAATTTTATTGCGGGCTCAAGTTACGAACACGTGTACTTGTGAGCAAGATGGCTGACTCGGTTGACTCGGCTGACTCCGACCTGAAGAAGGTAAGTAGCATGTAATTTAGTTCTGAATACGGCCGTATTCCTAAAGGAATTACGAGAATGAATAGCGGGAAGGTAGCTAGTCTTATTATTTCGCTATTTTCTCTGTTGACAGAGTAAATTGTGGACCGAAACACAAAATAACAAGCATGATTCTTACTTTATTTTTATACGTGACAAGAAATTTCAAGTATAGCAATACTCGTAATTAATAGATGTCTAGTCCTGTATTAAGGTCCAAGGCAACTTCAGAATACCCAGCCACTTTATTTACATGTGCCGGTGTGCTTTGAAAACGAGGTATATAACAATAGTTGCTTTTCTTATTCAATTAGATGCTATAAATAAGTGACCGGGTATTCTGGAGTTTAGATCTTACTTTGTCGGTGTAAAATCATGTAGTGAGGTGTTGAACCTTGGGCCAGTTGATTTATCAGTTGGCACATAAATAATGATTATATGAAAAAAATATTATTATGAAGTGCAGTCTGTGTTAAACAATGCGAAGTTGTACTTTCAGCTTTTGTCATAGTGTTGTTGATTCACTTACAGGTTTGTAACTATCTACGACAACGAGGAGTGGAAGAAAGGGTAGTAGACAAATTTGAGGAAGAAAAGGTTAGCATAATTTTGGTTGTTTTATCCTGTTTTATAACTAGCACCCATCCAGGCCGCCTAAGCAGGTGCCTGTGTGTTGTCATAGGCAGCTAAAATCACTTGCTAGTCAATTGACTTTAGCTGGCTACTTTTGTGTCACTTTGTGTCACTTTGTGACAGGTTGTGTGACTTATTATTAATATCTAATTAAGGACTGCATGATTAGCCAGTCAATTTAATTACACGTGATTGCACGACCCAGTTTCTACAATGACACGGGTCAGACCTCATGGACGGTAGATGTATGATTCGAGCGGCTCACAATAAACGTTAAAAGTTGAACGTCTGTTTCTTACAATTTTGCCATCAACAACAATATATTTTTGTAAGGAAAGAGAACCATTGCTCAAACCATCATGGCTCCTTACTATGTCTTATCAGCCCTCCCTAACAAAGTTTTGTACTGATCAATAACATAACTCAATCTCCCCTCCCCTTCACAAACACACACCCAGACAAGGTCTAGATTTGACATCATCGCAAATGTTAATAGACTCCCACAATGTACCACTGGGGCATTTTAAAGTACTGACTTCTTTTGCATGTAATACAAATTATGACTTTATTTCACATTACAACAAGAGCCAAACAGTGAAGGCCGAAGAAGAAATACCCCTATGGTGTTGCTCTCCTTGAGTTAATTAAAAAGCTGTCACAACAAAATAAACTACATTCCCCTTTTCCTGCTATTTCAATTCTAAAAAACAAGAATAAATTACATCTCCATTGGAAAAGAGCATTAATATACTAATTAACTTAAATCTTCTTATCCCAGATGGATATTTCAGCAGTCCTAAATGCGAGTGATGATGTCCTTAAAGATATGGGGCTGTCGACAGCAGGGGACAGATTAAGCCTTCGTGGCTTTTGTAGCACCGCTCAAGAGAAGCAACACAAGGAAGAAAAGGAATCCAAAAGACGAAGACTCCTTGAGGCATTCTTGTCTTCAAAGAAAGATAGGTCGACTAAGCTTACAACTGCTTCAGGCAACCAACAGCAAAAGAAAAAGCTTGAAAAGGAAAAAAAAAAGTCTAAACGAGTACAAGTTGGATGGAAACACTTCCGAGAGGAGGTTGAAGACTATGTTCTTGTACCTCTGTCTAAGGGAGGTGGCAGTAGGTATGCAACCATGCTGTTATCAAGTAACAGAACAGACATTATGAAAGTTTGTAAATCCATCTTTTTCCCTAATGGAGTGTCATATTATGGGAAAACAGAAGACATGCTATTTGCTATTGGAAATTTTCATAATGACCAAATGGGTGTTACCCTGGAAGTGAATGGGAAAGAGCTACCTTTCAATATTGGAAATTACATAGAGGCTTTTAAATTGAAAGATGTCAGGCTATACTTGTTGTCCAAAAAGATGACAACTCTCAGTGATGAAAGTGATGATGGCTTACCACCCATGATAATGAGTCATGACACCAATTCTTCTGAAAGGGCTTGTACAGCTGGTACTTCAATTGAGGACAGACAAGATGACAGAAAAGGCCTGATTGGTACAACAGAACAAAGGGAATCACTTAAAAGAGAGCAGGACACCGAGTATGAACTTTCACTAAAAGCAGACAAGCAAAAAAGAATCTCCCTTGAAATTGCAAAGGCTGAGGCTGAACACAAGAAAAGAGTTCAAGAGGCACGAGCTGCAAGAGTTTTAGCAGAACCCAGCACAGAATTTCTCACTGTAAGGGTCCGACACCCTACAATGGGAGTATGCTCTCGGCGGTTTCCAGCAAATAGTCGAGTGGCAGTAGTATATGATTGGGCTGGTTCTTTGACTCCAGACATAGTGGATTTCACACTCTGTGACCCTGTGGGAACACCGCTGCCACCAAGTAGTGAACTAGAGGATAGATGTACCTTGGTTATGGCTACTACTAGACATACACCATCATTGTGTGAGTCTGATGATGACATTCAATTCATGGGATTTGGAGATGCAAGTAATGGTATTAACACAACACTGCCAGACTGTGAGTGCAACATGGAAGGAAGGGAAATAAATACTGACGTGTAAGTAACTTAAACTTCCACTGCCAATTTCCATATAAATAACAGTCAGTCATCAGAAATTGTCAGACTGAAAATTTCCCACTAATATTTCATTTTTTTAACACATGATGCTTGGGCACTAAAAGGGCTCAGTTTTTATCAGGAAGTAATAAATTTATGTCTAAAAGTAAGGAACATTAAATTGGTCTTTTTAAGTAAGGAAAACGTAACTGCAGCATTGAACTTCCTTATACATGTTGTGGAGGAGCAGGGATTATAGTATCTACATGTATTTCGTGTGGTGTTATCCTAACAGGCATAAATGTAAGAAATTAATATCAAGGACAGACTTTCAGCGTTGCATTTACAGACAAGGAGATATATCTCAGAAATCTGTTTCATAAAGACAATATTGTATAAAAATTTGATTGCTCTACATTCTTTTCATTTTAAACTTGAACTTGATTGTTGTGTCACAGGCACCCCTTTCTTGTATGATGCTATGATATTTAAATTCAAGTTTTAATTTATATGTTATCCACAGTCATTAGAAAATATTGCCTATATACTCTAATGAGGGGCAAGAGGACCGTAAATAAACTACCAGACTTATGTGGGGAAGTTCCCTTATTTGCAGGTAGAATTATAAATATTATAATATATATCTATTGTGTACTCTTGACTTCATACCAATCACTGTGATGGTATTTGTTTACTTTTATTTTACTAGGCCCATGACTCCAATGCAGTTGGACAATTACTACGCCTCCATTCTGGTAGAGCAACCTGGAACTACATGTCACAGGGAAAGTTATTCGTCTGACAGTGAAGGTGACGTTTCTGCAAGTGAAACCCACAGTGATAATGTCCCAGCTGTTACTTGTTCTCAAGTGAAACCAGCACCTGAAATACTGAATGAACTAGCAGCCCAGATAAATGCTGATTGCCTCACCAAATTCAACATTGCTCGCAATTTCATATGGGAAGGAGCCAAGAGAGCAGTTTCCCGCAAAGTATTTTCGCCAGCTAACAAGGTATCTGTTAAGTTCACTGATGACACTGGGATCAGTGAAGGTGCCATCGACTGGGGTGGCCCCATGAGAGAGTTCTTTACGCTGATACTACAATGCATCCATGATTCTCAACTTATGTGTGGTCCGGAGAGCTGCAGATTCCTGTCATACAATGTAAAGTGTTTAGAAGATAATGACTACTTTGTTGCAGGACTGATGATTGCAATGTCACTCGTGCATGGGGGACTTGCACCGCACTTCCTATCCCCTGTCATGTTTCAAGCTCTTCTCAGTGACCAACCTTTGACAGTGCCATTGCAAGATGTCTATGATCATGAGCTGAAATCTTCTCTGAAATCTCTGATAGACTGTGACACTGTAGAGAAAGCAAAGAGCTGCACAGTTGATGGCAACTTGTCAACTGTTCTTGAGCTGGCTGGAACATTGGCAATGCCAATACAAACCCTGGATGATGTCAAGAAAATGGTTGCAGCAACTTCGCAGTGGTTTGTTCTCGGGCGATGTAAACCAGCCCTTGAGAGCTTCCGAGAAGGCCTCTCAGCCCTTGGCGTACTAGAAGCAGTCAAGAGATATCCTGATAGTTTCAGGCCATTGTTTTGTGATGTACCCGAGAAGCTGACAGCAGAAAGAATGGAACAATTGTTCAGGCCTACGTCAAGCCCTGTTGGTTCTTCAAAGGCATTAACCGAGAGTCTTGTTTTGTCCAGATGGGGTGATTATCTTCAGGACATAGAAGATGCGGAAGATTCTGACATCACCTTGAGTGACATTTTGTTCTTTACCACTGGCTGCAAAGTATTACCACAACGTGCGTTACCTGTCACCGTTGAGTTTTTGCATGAAGGGTTGTCAAGATTTCCCACAGCAAATACATGTTCAAACATCCTCCGTCTTCCAGTTGTGCATAGTGATTATGAAAGCTTCAAAGCTGATGTTACCTTTGGATTTCTCAATGCACGGGGTTTCGGTACTGCGTGACAAGCAAGGTGCAGTGCAGTTCAAGCCATTTTTGGACAACTGGAATTGGAAGTTGCTGGGCCAAACAATGCATGTTTATCAGGTCGCTTTTTCTGAAAGTTAAAGAAATGAAAAATAACAAATGGATGTTCAGTTTTTATTTCTTTTGTCAGCCTGGAAATCGAGTATGTACACTCAGTTTTCAGTTGTCAATTTTCAGGCTTAAAAAATAACAATTTCACATATTTAGAAAAAGTAAAAATTGAACACAGATTTTTTTGCAGTTTTCTACATTCAATTCAGTCTAAGAGTAAAGAAACGTCTTCAACAAACACTTCTTCTGTACCTTCTTTAGTTCCGAATTTTAGATGGCTCACGCACAACTTAAGGCCATGTTACACGAAGCGATTTTTACTGCAAGTTGCACCGCAACGTTTGTTGCGTTGCAAGTTGCATGAAAAAATTCACGTGTAACACCCCATTTTGCAACTGCAATTGTTGCGTTGCGAGTTGCAAGAAAAGTAGAACGACCCTCTACTTTTCGCAACGTTGCGAGACAAGTTGCTCGCGTGTAACATCCCCTCAGCAGCTTACAACGCAATTAAGTCAGAATGGCCCAATCAGAGCTCATCTTTCGCTCGCCATCTTGGTTGTTATTGTACGCGTTGCAAGTTGCAAGTTGCGAAAAAAGTTGCAAACGTGTGACACCCCCTCTGCAACTTGAAAGGTTTTTTAATCGTCATCATTGCGTTGCAAGTTGCAAGAAAAATTGCTTCGTGTAACATGGCCTTTAACCGTTGTACCTGCGTAAGATAATCATGTCAGCTGCTAATTAACTGGCTCAAACATCGCCAGTTTTGTTTTTGAGTGAACGCCTACAAAGGCTTATCGGGAGGGCGTTACTGTAAAAAATTGCCGTCTGTGTCAAATGTAAATGCACTCGGTGACATTTCTCTTGATGACAGCAAGTCTTGTGTTCATTTTAATCTCAGTCATATACTTTTTGATGTTTGGTTAAACGGCACCTTCCCAGTGGCATATTTTATAAAGACTCTTTGTTACTGTTACTGTTTGTTTAACTTAGAATGCCCAATGTCAGACTATCTAGCTGATAAGAGGGAGACACCTCGGGTATTAAAGGGTTACGGTTGCTGTTTATTACGAATGTGAATGCATTCAGTGCGTACACGTGCACATTAACATCAATTTTTATGATAGTCAACATTTCGTGTTCATCAGAATTAGTCCGTTTTGCTATTTGATATCTGTTTACTCAGTTGAATTGAGCTGATTTCACCTAAGATAATTATCTTATGTTAATATTCTGCTGTATACAATGAATATTGGCGGAGAAATTTTGTCCATTTTCTCCTTATTGCGTGTGCATCCTCCTTTTGACAAAAAGACGACAACAATGGATCGTTTGAGAAAGAAAATTGCTAATAAAGTTGATGTTTGGCTGTTGATGCTTTTGCTATTGTTCTAACAGTATTCTCTTCGCATCAGTCAGCATTGAGACTTGTTAATGAATGAAGAGTCCTGGCCAAGGTTTCTTTGGCGAGAAAGAACAGGCGCAAGGGGCAGGAATATTCGACATGTTTCTGGTCGACCATTCTCATAAATGTGAAGCTACAATAACTTCTCTATCTCGTTCACGAGAATCAAATAAAGATTCTGTGCCTCGTTAGCATTTTCTGGCATTCTAAGACCTTCTTCTGTCATGATGACCTGGGCAAGTGCATTGAATTCAGGTGTTGATTCCAGAGGCAGGTCATCACAACACATATCTCTAGCAACATCTAAGTCGTCAATGTCAACATCATGCTTGCAATCTGTGGCCCCTGTCATTTCAGGGTGATGGTATAAGAGACAAGGTCGACCATGGGGAGAACTGTTGTTCCTTGTTGAGGGTCGAATCCGATGTAGGTTCCACAGTCTAGCCACTCTTTGGAGTTCCTGACGGATAATTGTGATGTAACAAAACAGTAGACATTCTTCATGCACAGCATTGGCATCACAGTATAGTCCTCTGTCCCTCAAATCTTTAAAATGAGTAATCCACCAATCAGAAGCTCCTCTTCGCAGTTGTCCCCACCATGCTTCTATTCTCTGATTAGCAACTGATCTTCCATAAAGAAAACTTTTCTCTCCTGACCAACTATCTCCTCCTTCATGTCGTAGATAGCGTTGAATAGCAGCGATTCTCACGTTTTCTGTCCCCATGTCTCCACGAATTACACTGGCGGTACCTCCAACATTTTGTACACAGTTAATAAAATAGCTTGCAACAACGCCGGGATGATTATTCGTACGCCCAACTTCAAGCCACATGATTTGTCTCGAATATCCGTCAATACAACCGTGTATACAAAACCCATAAGGTTTCAATTTATCGTATCCGTCCAGGTGCCAAATAAAATTTGGGCCCTTTGCGTGATATTGTCGCCTTTGGAGTCTATGCCTTGAGCGCCTTTGTACCCCTTCAGGATCCATTATTCTTAACGCATTCCTAACAAATTCTTTGCTAACAGACAATTTATGGTCAACCACTAATCTCTGCCACATAGATCTGTAACCGACAATGCTTCCACTTCCTTTTAACTCCTCTTCCATGGCGTCTGCTATCTCAACAAAGTTGCTAAAGCGTCGTCGTCCAAGATTTTTTTGCGATAAGATTCTTTTAAGCTGTCGTAGACTTAAAGGTATTCCATTATTTAAAAAGAGACAATCAATGATTTCCTTATAATTGAAGCCCAAATGGAAATATTCCTCAATCATATGATTTCGAAGGTCGTTATCCGCCATGTCGTTATCCGCGATGTCTCAGTGATTTAGGACAGCGGCTCCTCCCAGAAGGTTAAAAAGACCTAACGCCAATAAATGAGGACACGGTTGATACGTGGTCTTGAACACAATTTTTTACATAATTTTTTGTCCCTATTACAGGACTAGATACTTGTTAAGGGTGCTGTAAAGCAAGAATCAAGCTTGTTCTGCCTGTTGTGCTTTTCCAGCCTGGCAAGGCTTTGTGTTTTTCGAGCAATAATTTACTCTGTCAACAGAGAAAATAGCGAAATAATAAGACTAGCTACCTTCCCGCTATTCATTCTCGTAATTCCTTTAGGAATACGACCGTATTCAGAGCTAAATTACATGCTACTTACCTTCTCTAGATCGGAGTCAGCCGAGTCAACCGAGTCAGCCATCTTGCTCACAACTGCACGTGTTCGTAACTTGAGCCCGCAATAAAATCTAGCAGCGGTCTACAAATGAGCGCTAGAGAAAAAGCAAAAAAAGTCGCGCCGGCGAAAAAAAGTCGCGCCGCTGAGAAAAAGTCGCGCCGGTAAAAAAAAGTCGCGCCAGAGAGAAAAAGTCGCGCCAAAGGTAAGAAAGTGTTCGCCATAAACACAAAAGAATACATTCCCAATATGATGCTGTACGCGCGCGTGTATGGCACTAACAGGGCTCCGTACCGGCTGATTTCTCGAGGAGTGAGTCCGGACCAAAGGAATGGGCAAACTGTAGCCTTTATATGCAGTCGCCCCCTCCTCTCAAAAAGAACAAGGGAGGGGGTCGCTCTACATAGGCTAAACACACTGCAGCCTCCAAAATATGGCGGACGACGGAGAAGGAAATCTTAGTCGAGATTGCCTGCCGCTTTCCTCTCCCGCGTTAAACGACACAGTAGATTTTATACTTTCAGGATTTTTGCCGGGTTGTCGACCTTTAAGGTATGGATCTGATCTCAAAGAGTACTTTTTCAACAAGCCTGTAGACGAAACAAAATCACCGATTACTGTTCACTACACTGGTAGTACAGCGGAAGGTATCGATCGAGCGAGCGATGACGATTTCATGTTTGTCAACCACAATTTAAGGGTTGTCGATGATTCTTCAAACATTGTTGTGAGAGACAATGAAATACGATGTTTTGTCGCAACTGAGGTCCGGCCGGGTTATGCACATTTACGTTGCAATTCACCAGAAAATGCCGATAATGAAGACTTGAAGTTGAAGCAGAACGATGGATTTCTCAGAAGTGATATTGTTAAAGCGTTCATGTTGTATTCAGATCCAGAAGGTAATGAAAACGACACCTTTTTTAATCGTTTGACAGAACACGGTCCCGCTCTGACAGATGAAAAGCACAGTGATGATTTCGTATGTGCTGTACCGTGCTACGAGTGGCCTAAGGTCGCAACGGAATTTAAAACCCGTGTGAGAACATTAAATCAGCCAGCTCCTGAAATTATACACAAGATCGTGGCTCAAGGATGCTCATACGTTGCTGTAGGTCACCCTCTGAGTACAGACCGCGGCAAACAGTGGAGATTGTCTTTCTCACTTGCTGAAAAAATTCTAGTCCGTTCCTGGAACGATGTGAAGACAAAATGCTATATCGCGGTCAAAGCTTTATGCAAAGAAAATCTCGACCTAGAGCCAAAGGTAATTTGCTCGTATTATATTAAAACAGCCATCTTTTGGTTGTCTGAAAAATTACCCGAAAATTTCTGGAAAGAAAGAAAGATACTACATTGTATTTTAACAGTCATGACAGAGTTGATGTCATTTACAACGAAAGGAACATGTCCAAATTATTTTGTTCCCTCAAATAACATGATGGACCATTTCAGCGACGAGCAAAGAAAACGTGTTGCCTCTAAGATTGAATCAATTATGAATAACCTCCCTCTGGCTTTGCTGCGATCTAAACTAGCGGAAGCAACATTCAAGAAAAGCGCAGATTTTGTCACACTATATCTAATCTTGAAGAATTCAGATTCTCCAAGCAATGCGGAATCTCAGTTGTTACATGTGAATTCTCACAACAAACGATCTAGTTTTGAACACTATGAACACTACTATGAGTCCATGCATCTGACAGAAATTTTGCGCGACCTAAAAGGATTTTTCTTTCAAAGAATACAAAGCAATAATCCAGATTCAATAGCTAAAGTAGTTTTGGACGATCTGCCAAGGGTTATTGGAGATCAGAATTTTAAATATGCATATGAGAAACTTGTGTATCTGGCAGTTGGTGACATTTATCAGCATATGGCATCATCAAAATGTGACTCAAACAAAGAAGAGTATCAGGCCTTGTTGACACAAGCAGAAAGTTGGATTGCAAAAGCAGGAATATTAAAACATCCTTCAGGGTTTGATGATAATGGAATCCTCACTTGTGCATGTAAATCATTGTTGTATTACACAAGTGGTAATAAAGACATGGCACTTGATTTGTGCTCTCAGGAATCTGAAAGGATCTTTGCTCAAGCTCAATGTCTCCATGATCTGTGTCACTGGTCTTGTGCTGTTGTCATAGCAACAAATGAAGCTAAAAAATTCAGCCAAGTTGATCCAAGCATTGCTGGACTTCTGAGTGTTAACGACCTGTATGTTAGTCCAATAAGCATCATCCTGTATATTGCAATAAAGTGCTGCAAAGATGAAAGCCCACGAACTGACTTTTACAAACATTTTGAGCAGCTGCAGCAGTGGCTTCCTCCAAAGATCACTGATCATGAAAAAGAGCTTCACAGGAGCCACATGTTGCTGAAAAACATTTTGATGTAAGGTAATAGTACAGCCAGGGCACTTCCTTGTGGTGGCTCCATTGTTATTACAGGCCCATTGACTGATGATGAACTTTATGTCATAACTTTTCTGGTTTGAATGCAATGGCTACGACACTTTGAGAAGAATTACAGCTATCATTTGGCAATACAGTCAAACCTCTCTAATATGGACACCGAAGGCACAGAGCGAGTGTCCGTATTAGAGAGGTGTCAATATAAAAGAGGTCACTATGATGATGTCACTTTTATGACTCCACTTACAGTTTGAAGTTTTCAGTAGCTAAAACTAGGCTCACACTCGTCGTTAAACTGCATTTAAAGTTATTAATTCACAGTGCAAAGACACTGTCCTTCAGTAGCATACAACATTGTACATCTTAGCTACAGACAAATTACTGTTTCAAAACGAAATGAGCTACAGTGTAATGCTGCATGTAAAAAGTTGTAACACAATTCTGAAAGCATCTTTTGCTATTTTGCAAGTGCAGTAAACAGTAACTAGTTAAGAGTACAAAATGTAATAGAAAAGATCTTTATGCTATATGTAGTTATTGAAGCCTTCAAAAAGTTGGTTATGTTCCTCTGTACACCTTTTGCAAATTGTTGTTTGGTACTTTACAGCAACTGGGCTTTATATCACCTTGCATAGCTCATCAGCCAGACTAGATGTAGATGGGATTCACCCAGTGCAGATTCACCTGATCGGGATTTGGGATTGGCTCCTGATCACCGCAGTGTCCATAATAAAGAGGTTAAGTTTATACGAATTTACTCTCTGGGGCGGAGATTTAGTGCCCGTTGTCCGTATTAGAGATAGTCCGTATGATAGAGTGTTTTTTTTAAGAAACTATATGAGAATTTTGTCGCGGCATTGGAAACTGTCCGTTATAGAGAGGCGTCCGTACTGAGAGGTTCGACTGTAATACGAAAAAATTTGAACTAACTGTGTGTTGATAAGAAAACAACAACAGAAAATAATAATAAACAACAGTGATTTATCTATAATGGATGGACATGCTTCAAAATCTATGATATAGATGAACTTATTCTTGCACTACGAATTTAGATTTGTGGTTATTTTGTTCTAAAAGATTGGACAAAGTTTAGCTGTGTTTTTATCAGATATAAAGACGCTCATTAAACATTCTTTTCTTTTGTTTTTTCATTATGAATTATTAATGCATTTTTGAATATCTGATAAAGACTCGGCTAAACTTTAAGTCCAATCTTTTCGACCACAATAACCTCTAATCTAAATATGAAAGCCGGAATGAGTTGATCTATATCAGAGATAAATAAATTAACTAGAAGAAATGCTCACATCACCCATCTCCATTGTGTGGCCAGTACCTTGCACCTATTAAAATTACTTGAATAAGTGCCCAACTTCAAATAACCTTTCACTTCAAATTAGTACCCCTGCTTTTTAGCAAACGATTGCAAAATTTGTAATCTTATTCAATTTTATCTAAGAAAGCATTTCCCCCTCCTCCTAAAAAAAAAAACAATTCATGGTACTAAGAATGCTCTTTGACATTCAGAATTGATAATAGCTGTAAAGAAATTTTAGAGATTTAGTCTTATTACTTAAGCTTGTAGGATGTTAAAATCAAATTAGCATCATACTCATAGATTTGTGTTTCTACTATGTAATAAAAGCTTCTGTGCACCAAAATAAACAGAAGACTAAGTAAGATCTCTCTAGATTCATGGTGCAAAGCACCTGTCATGCAAGTCATATGACAACGAAGCCTTATCACCAGTTATCACTCAGATAATAAACCTACAATGTACATGGCCAATCAGCTACAAGGCCTCATCAGCCAGCCATACATGTTGAAGTTTAACAGGTATGAATTGAAGAAACCAAAAGCGCTGTGGCAAGATATACAGCCGACAGGTACAGGGTATGCCAGCTTGAAATTATGCAAAACTGACGTCTGCTCTATAAGTTTGATACCTTACCTTTTAAGCTTAAACTTTGAGAAGAGATGTCGTTATTGAAATGCATATGAGCAATGATGATAAGTTACACTATCACCCGAGAACAAAGACAATTTACAAGTGATCTGCCGTCACTTTGAACACTTACGTCTCTGCATACTACATGAAATGACTTTTGGATTTGCTTTCGATCTCCTGCACGGCAGGAGAGCGAAAACAGAAGAGATTTTTTCTCTGAGGGTCAAGTGATGTGCAGAAGCTAAAATAGAGTGTTCATACCTCAAAGACGTCTGGAAGTCGATTGCTAAGCAGGTATCTTCTTAACTGGGGATCACAATTCTTCAGGGAAGTCATAATTCTTGTAATATAAGTTACATATTCAAATCCAATGAGTCCGCCATTACATACCAACAGTTCCTCACCATAGAAACGAGGATCATTCGGCCCAGTCTTCTATTTGTTAGCGCGAAAATTCAAAGATGGCGGCCTCGGTTAATTAAAGTTAAATATTTATCAGATGATTATTGGCATCCATGGAAAATGGTCTTAAGAATCTTGAGAGTTAGGTTGTCGTTAATGACGGTGCAGTTTACACGAGGAATGGCGCTCTTCAGAAGCAGTGGGTATATTGGAGGGAAATGGAAGGACTGTGATGCAAAATTCCCAGTGTACAACCCTGCGACTGGCGAAGAGATAGGAAAAGTAGCGAATATGGGACGATCAGAAGCAGAGGAAGCCGTGATCCAGGCTTATAATGCATTCAAGTCATGGAAGAATGTAACCACAAATGTACGTTAACTAAGAAATACATTTGGTTTTAACAACTGAATGGATTGGCCACTGCAGCAGCTGGGGCTTTCCCCCTCCGGCGGGTGCAATCTTCCTTATCAACTCAGTCGATAAAAACCAAGTCTTTGTTTTTTACTTCCCCACCGACGCAACACAACAACTTTTTTACTAGGAAAATTTCTTCAGGAGTTGGCCATCTTGCTGGGGAATTGATCCTCCCCTCTCCTCTCAATTGCACAGCATTTGGCAGAAATGCCCTGCCCCAACCGCTTATCACTTTAGTGATTAATTTTACCACAATGAGATCTTACCCCCTAGAGACATTAGCGCACCAGTCTATCAACCAAAACTTGAACCAACATATTTTCCAGGGTTTTATGTGGTTTGTTTTGTATCTATAGTTATAATTATAATTAAATGCTCTTTTAAGCAAGGGTCATGCTACCAGGATTTTTGAAGTTTCAAGGTAGTGGTAGCAAATTATTTTACTTTATCTGAGGAGTTTAAAATTCTGAAAATGTGGAGCGAACCGTCAGGCTAGCATCTTTTTGTTACCAGTTGCTTGGTGAACAAGCAACATCAGTAACTGTTGAGAAAAAGTACAATTGTAAATGTATGTGAAAATGGGGACTAACCTATGGTAGGCCAGCTTCATGGCTACTTCCTGCCAGTTAACTTCAGCATCGGGTTACCTGAAAGGGATTCAAAACTAAGGACTGAAAAAAACAGGTTAATTTTGTCTTTTTCTAGTCCAATGTGGGGAATCTTTGTTTGAATACCAACATGACCAAATGTTACAAATCCCCAGGGTATGACTCCAAGATAAGACACAGTGACGTTTCCCCCACATCCTGTAGGAAGATCGATCAACAAAGATCTTCTCCCTCAGTGAAGGCTGATTAATGCATTAACAACAACATTAAAACACTGGTAATAATGACACCCATGTAAATCTGATGGCAGGAACGAAGCCAGAAGTTGCGGAATTGGTACAACCTTATTTTACAACATGAAGAAGAGCTGGCCAAGTTGCTTACCACAGAACAGGGAAAACCTTTGTTTGAAGCTAAAGGTGAAGTGAAGTATGCAGCTACATATGCTGAATGGTTTGCAGAGGAGGCCAAGAGAGTGTGTGGTGATGTTATTCCTTCACCAAGCCCTTCACGAAGACTGTTTGTTCTGAAGCAGCCTGTTGGTGTTGCAGCCCTTTGGACACCAGTAAGCATCCACTTTAGAAATGGAGCTAAATAATTGTTTTCAAAATACAAATAAATATAATTACAGGGTAAATGTCAGTTACCGTAAAATTCCGAAAATAAGCCCTGGGCCTTATATTTTTCAAAGGCCCTTTTTGAGGGGCTTATTTTTGGGGGGGCTTTTATTCGGAGGGGCTTATCTATGGAGGGAAATTTGCATTTCAAAATTGATTGGGCTAGCCTTATAGTTGGAAGTAAATTTACCGTTTTACTTTGCATTTGAGGGTAATTTTCCAAGTACAACCACTGGGGGGCTTATATTTGGAGGGGCGATTTAACGGAGGGTTCTTTGCGTTACAGGTTTGGGGAGCTTAGATTTGGAGGGGCTTATACATGGAGGGGCTTATTTTCGGAATTTTATGGTATTCATTTTCGGTGTGTGTGTAAACAATAATCTGACAAATTCGGGTTAAAAAATCTGATTTAATTAACCCTTAAACCCTATCTTATTTTTCGTAAATTCTCATTTGACAATTTTGAATACAAAATGAAGAAAGCAAGGTCCAGACTTGATATCATGATGGTAAAAACATGATGGCTGGAACTTACAATAATCATTTCGTAGGCTAAGTTGTCAAAGTATCAAATGAATAAAATATATCTTGTGTGGTTGTTAATTCTTATGACCATGCAGTCATTGATGTTGCATGTATATTTTTGATGTAAAACACCCTCAAGCAGGGTTAAAGGATTTTAACATTGTTTCTATACTGTGGGTACAGTGCAGTGATTTTTTTACAGATAGTTATGGTGACGGTCCTGGGACTCATCTTGAGAAAAATCGTGAGTCTCAGCCAGAACCAATGAGTCCGAAATTGAAAATGCCTAGGGCTTTATGTAACCAGACAATCTGTAGAGAGACTCCGAAACTCAGTGTATTACAGAAATTAAAATAAAGTCTTTCTATTTTAAAGCACGACAAAGGCTAAAAAACACATGCAAATTGTTAAATAACAGCCATAATGACTGCCACAGAAATTACATGAACAGGATCTACAAATACACCTGT